ACACCGACCATATTTTCCAAATGCGTGCTAGCATTGACGGTGACCCCCTCGTAATAGGCATTTAATGCCGTGGCGTTGGTAATCCAATCGGGATAGCCAATGAAACTTTGCATTCCCGCAGACTTTTTTAAAGTCTCGCGTTTCGTTGGCTCATCCATCCACGACGTGGAGCGCACCAAATCGTTAAATGCCTGTCGAATGTTCTCTAGCATGCGACGTACATTTGGCAATTTGTGACGCGTGAAGTTATCGTCTACCAATGCATAACTCACCGCCATACCCATGAGACTGTTAACGCCATGAGTGCAATATAGCGAACGTGGTGAGCTGCTTTCCGTGCCTATAACAACACTAAGATATTCCGCATGTAGCAGACGCATTTCACTGGTGGTATGCAGGATTAACTCTTCCACAGCGCTAAGCCATATATAAAACTCTAAATGCTCACTCGGTATAGACGCAACATATTCAATCATTGTTTGCAAATATTGTATATCAGCCTGACTGGTAATGATTTGCAAGTGGGAGACATTGAATTTATTGATATTATTATCACTAATCATCCATTGCAGATAATTGCGCCAAATGGGCAACGTTTGCGGAGCAATTAATTTGTCGGTTTGATTTTGCAACTCATTGACCGTAACATAAACAATATCATCGATGGGATTTTTAGAACTTTTTGTAGAATTTTCAACTGCATCTTTTAACTAATGAATGATAAATTGATAAATTAATAAATTGATAAATTGATTCAATTTGGAAACTTTATCAAAATAAAAAGGTTTTCTTTTCTAAGTACTTTATAAATTCTTCTGGCCACCTTAATGGCGTTCAGTGTGATCGCAGCCGCCTGTTGATGGATTTCATCCGAATCGATATCGGGATCCAGATACGATATATAAAGATCCATGATTTTTTTAACATAAACAATATACGCCTCTAGACCTGTTGAAGTTTGCTTGCTGGCCGCTTCAACTTCTTCGTCCCATTTCTCGACATCGTCGTTATCCGCCTCAAAGAATATTGTTTTTCTCCGGATTTTATGTAAAATTTTATGCGCGTCGTCATTATTGCTATTACAATGAGAAATAGAAGATGATATCAGTCACGCTAAAGGAGATTCCTAAGCACTTACAAAGGCAGTGCTGTATCGATTTCCGGCGTACCAAAGGCTATTCGTTTAATTGTTCGATTCAGCGGATCCGGAAGTATATCAAAACCAATTATTAAATCCATTCCCAAATATTTCTTAATCAACACCAGCGATTTTAACCAATCGAACTTTGGACTTTGGTCGCTATCCTCCGTTCCCAAAGTTAAATTAAATCCCCTAGGTATCAAAGGTAATTGAAATTGCTTAAGGAAATACACTAAAGGTTCCATGTCACGTTCATCTAATAGCTTAGTATCCATGCAACCTTTAAACATTAGCTTCGCTTTGCTAACAGTCGCCGGTTCATTGTCGGTTGCATTTTGCTGCAAAAATCTTCTTAATTGACGCATTATTTTCGCCTGAGCCTCTCGAAACCAATCGTTCGATGTCACTGAATCGGGTCGTGGATGTTCGTCGGCCCATCGTCCGCATGTAAATTGATAAAAGTCTTCACAAGGGTCAGTCTTTTCGTCCATTGAGTAAATAAGGCTTGCCGCTGCACGAAGGCATTCTTTCGAACGACATAAGCTATTAATCGATTGTTTGTCTAGAAGTGCAGAAAGAGCTTAACGAAGCATCAACACATTCTCGAGCCTCAATTCAAGCAAACTTACTCAAAAAAACACTTAATATTATTATTATTATTAATAAAAGTATTAGCAATAGAATGAGTAAAACCAACAGCACCTTATGATAATATTTTCGTCGAAATCTGAAATTAAGCAAGCAAACCCACTTTAATTAAAGGAAAAAGAAAGCAAGAAAGTTCTTCCTCACTTTGATTGCACGCCTATTAGGTTATTAGTTTGATGACTGATGATTGATGGCAAAGCTTTGGAACTGCCATTGGCGCCTCCCTGGTCATTGCCGTCAATTCCGGTAAATCCACGCGCAGGATTGTGGCCAGAATTGACAGAACAAACACTAAGATTATCTGAAAATAATTAAAGCGCAGGCGTTGTAGTCGATAAGCAGTACTTATCCTCAGAAGTTCTCTACAATCGACAAAATACGCGAAAGATATTTGCTTACAGCTGCTTACAGGGAAATTGAAGCATCATCCACCAAAGCTTATAGGGAATTGAAAATTCTTATCAAAATCGGAAGAAGCGTAAGATTGAAAACATTTTGAAGTGACCCAATGTTTTATATCCAGTGAGTAAAAGTCCGCTAGATATTAGACGGGGAAGAACTCATATTGAAAATGTAGCTATGGACTTGCATTGATATTTGGAGTGTCCTAGCCTACTGCTCTCCCCTATCTACTTTCGAATGCTGCTTCTTTTACTATGAATCTTTATAATTTAATTTACCAATGTATGTCTCAATCTAAGTCATCTTAGCAAAATATGCGGACAAGCGTGTTTTTCGGGAAGGTGTGAAGCAATAGCCTTTGCCGCTGTGCAATCGGCAACAATGCTAAATGGAGGAAAGGCGACTACATGAACCTTACATGCTGTACAGAGACCACATTCATGCGAATTCTATACCATTACGATCATTGCTTCTTAAGCTGTTACCCTAATGCATTCTCTTCACATCAATTAATTGGATTAAGGATTAACTCGTAGGGTTACTTGCGTTTTTATGTAAAGAATGCATTAAGCCTTTCAGAAAAATTTATGATAATTTTTGTTCATCCCTTTAATGCTCAGCTTGGAGCGATGAATATTTAATCGCACACATGCCCATAACGTGGTTATGCTTTTCATTTATTTTCATACTCATACTCTTCGCACAGGCTAGACGGTAGGTAACCTAAAGCTATGCCATTGTAATTTGTTTTCCTTGAACGTTTGGCTTGACCGGCAAAGCCGTACACGCATTAGATTGTGATCACAACATGTGTCATTTGTTTGTTGTATCTTATCACTGACATAATGCTCACATGTTCTAGAACATTATTTCATACATTTTCTTTTTATATCAATTAAGTTCATTGAACTCGTTGTCACCGTTATATGTCAATAACATATACACATGTGTTTGCATTGCGTGCTTTAAATAATTTTGAAATGACAGAATAAACTGAACTTTGATAAAAAAAAAATATATATAAACTGTTTAAATATCTTTAATACTTAATTAAATGCGGTTTTATGTAATTAAACGCAGACTCTCGTTTATGCTACAAATCAGTTGAATTATAGCAACATCGGCATTGCTAAGCAGCGAAGTTCCTAAAGATTAAGACAGTTTCGATTATGTCCTTGAATAGATGGTAAGCCTAACGTGAAAGGAGATTCTGTACAACAGATCATAAAAGATAAAACCGATTTCGTCGACAACATTTTCACTACAATGTGTTTGCAAGTCACCCTAAAATGAACTATGAAAATTTAATAGATTTCATATCCTAAAGTCAGCGCTATTGACATCCAGTATCATTGTCCTTAACAAGATTACAATTTAAGTCACAGTACAGTTATTTTACTGAGAAGTGAGATCGGAATATATGCCCTATCACTAATGGACTCCTCTACTTAGTGATATTTTCTAGTAATCGTGTGAAAAGGTTTGCTCAAATTCGCCAAAAGGATTCGCTAAGTAAGTATTAATCTTATTATTGCTGGTTATGCCAAAGAAATACATTCTTGAACTGAAGCAACCTATCGCCTCTTGTAAGAAATATCAATTTACATGACATCGTTCGCGTTAATTGAAAAACTAAAGAGTCACTCTTTCTGCGATACCTTCTAAATTGGCGAAAGTTAACACTGGCTTGATAGGTGTAGTGACTAACACACACCGGCCGATACATTTATTTTTTGTCTGATTCCCTTTCTCCTCAGCTACGATGGACTAAGTATTCAATGTTCAAGGACTCTGGAACCTTTCAATGCAAGTAAAAGAAGCCTGGCTGGTTAAACTCTAAACGTTTCTCTAACGCAAACGCTTCTCAAGGCCGCTTCAACATGAAAGTAGGAAAATTTGCCCTATGTCCTTATCGGAATGTTTGGCTTATCTCACTAAATTATATACCAACCTGCAGACATTGTTGTTTTTCTTCGTTGATTTTCTTACCATCTATACTTGAGCGACGGCTGCGGTTAATTATAAATCCATTTGTTGTCCAAATGCGAATTGAACGGTATGTTGAATCCATGGCCTACAAATTTAAATATGTTGTTCTACATACTCCTTCTCACGGCACGGATTCTCAAAGACATGCATAACAATAGTTAGTTCTTTTTGGCTTTATTTGCACAAGCACTCCCTCATCGTCAGTAAAGTTTTGCATTCAGGAAAATTACTTTTCTACTTTTACGTTTACGAAAACAAATACTTTTTCAATAAAAGTTCAAATCTTTTTTTTTAATTTTTTTTTTTATTTATTTATAACATATTACTCAGCTCTCGCATAATGAACAGTTTTACGGTATATTTCTTGCAAAACTATACGCTTAGCACTTAATTTCAACTAAAATTCTTGACGATAAAAAACAAAAAATGAAGGAAAATGAGACATGAGTATCCTTACGAAAGCGTTTGCTCACTATTACCATATGCCGGTGAATTAAATCAGTTCGCTTAACTGCACGAACTTTTTATAAAATTTTTTGCCACATTAAGTCTAACGATTGTGTGGCCTTCACACTGTGACGACAACAGCACAAGCTATTCATTCTATAGCAATATTAGTAAAATTCTAGTATAATTTTATTTTAGCAGACACCAGCCACCAGCCGCAACACGCAAAACCATTTCATTATCTATTTCAAAGGTAGCCCCGCTACTATTTAGTTATTTCGTGAATGCCCGCAGGAAGAATATTTACAAAGCAACCGACCGCTAATAAATACTTTTTGTGACACATTAAAATTTATATTCAAGTTTGGAATGAAAAAAATATACATCTCAAAACCACCTGTTTAAGTTCCATATTCCATAATAAGTAAGTAGTAAACTCGTGTTCATTCCTTTTCAACTTAACGCGAGTGCGAGTAAACAACAACAACAACGTAACCGTGCTACGAGTTAAAGTCGACAATAAACATTTTTGTAGAGTTAATTTTATTGATTTTATTGTGGCAGGAATGATAGAAAACTGAGTCAACAAAAGTCAAACAGATAATGACCTAAAAGCATACCATGCAAACTAAAGTAAAAAATTTCATTTCATTTTTCTCTTCTCCTTTAAAGCATGCTCGATTTAACGCGTTACATGTAACTAGTGCGATTGTAAATATATTGAAATACTTATGAATATTTAAAAAATTTTCTATTCACTTAATGAAATGCTAATCTAGTCAAGTGTTCGTATCAACAAGAACTTCGTTTTCAATATTATTCCGAATACACGATCGATCTGTGCAAATGAATATTTTGACTTGATATTCGTAATAAATGAATGATTGCTAACAGATGACTCTTATCGCCGAAGTTTGACACTTTCGCAGGCGATAACTGCCTTTAGTGGTTCCGCCAGACATCTCTCTGCTTTATAGTTTACTACTTTACAACTGGCGACTGAGTCATGTAGTCAACCTCAAGGCGTCGAGACTACCGCTATTACATCCATTATATAACATATCTCAATTTTAAAATGAATGACCATGGAAGTCCTTGAAATGAACCTTGGAAATACCTTTCACACCCACATAGAGTCCATATACACAGTTAGTTTCTTAGAGAAATCGAACGAATCATATAATGGCGCAAGTAAAGGAGAGCACGAATCATTAATGTTTAAATTGATTTTTAATGACGAAGCAATATTGTCATTTTTTATGGACAGTTTTCGGTCCGACGTGATTGATGGTTGGGTTAAAAAATAAAATTTACAGATAAATGTTTTTCTATGTTACCAAGTTTTTATAAAGCAGTGGTAGGGATGAATTTTTCATGCGAGTGTTTCTTCAATTTTCGCTACGACTTCTCTCAATCGGTAATAGAATTAAAAAAAAAAGCCGCAATTGCTCTTAAGAACCTTTACGCAAATTGTCGCCATTTCCTTGTCATTTCATAAGTGCGGGTACGAGTACAGGTAGCGATTCGAATGCTTGGGCATGATTTAAAGCGCACTAATACAGGTGAAATCCTATTCTAGTTGATATTTACTTATACTTACACGCATTGTTGCATTTAATCAATCAAAATCAATAATGGACTTTGGCAAGTTGGAGTCTCAGCAAACGATATGTGACCCTTCTAAGAACAGATTTGTTATAATCCGGCCAAAGTGAGTCAGTCTCGCGCGTTCAAATGGAAATCAGAAATACGATATCTTCTCTTGCATGAATTGCAGAATTCGCTTAGCGAAGAGACCGAAAGTCATGCCGAACTGTCTTTTCAAAAACTTCCCGTTAGTCTAACTGTACGCAAGTCAGCATAATACAAATGTGTTATCGGAAAGATTGAGTTCTGATTGTTCCGTCACCTAACACAATCAAAACAAAATAAACCAAAAACTATTCACAAAAATTTTGCACTCAAAAAAAGTGTAGGGATTATGGGTGGAAAATCGCTATCGATAGCAAAATAGTAAATAGGCCAAATGGAAACCGCAGGGTATACATGCGTTCTATTTTTATATTTTTAAATTTTAGCTTCTAATAATACAAATTCTCTATAAAGCACTTATATATAATCACAATGAAGGTAGTTAGTTGTTGAGTTCTTATTGGGATTATTCGGTCCCGTAATAATTTCGTTTATCTATTTTAACTATTTAGAACAAAGGGATTATCCATACACGGTTCCATCAGGTATTTGTCAATTTTTTGTTTGGGTTATGACGCACTTACAACAGGAGGGCATTTTGAAATGATCGGTGATCACTTTTCCCTCAGGCGTTAACGCCACCAGAGACCGAAAAATGAAGTTTTGCTTACAAGTGGCGTAATAGCCTTTGGGTAGGCTTAACATTGAGTTGCATTGGGAGCCTTCGTTTCTGCAAATAATATAAAATGTGAGAAAGCAGGCATTTTTTTTACTTTGGATACCTACTCGCACTCTTCTATGCGTATTCCTTGCTTAAAATTCGAATCATTCACTATGTAACTCCAATTTGAATTTTTGCTTTCGGCTGCCTCCGGATAAATGACCTTCTCGCGACTCCTGCATAAGAATTCCTCAAATGGCTCAATATCTATGTGTGGCATAATCCTTTGCGGCACTTCTATGTCTTCCCCAAAGAACAGTTCGACATTGGGAAACTCACGTTTCAATATATCCTCTAGATGTCCCAATTTCGGGTAATTGCGTACTTTAGTGCAAAATGTTTTGCCTTGTTCCAAGCACTCGTTAACATCAACTGAAAACGGGCTTTCTTTGTTCGGCCCATTCGCAGGAAATAAAACCGCTAAAACATTTAAAATTACTATAAGACCCAGTGTTGCAAAGATACATTAGAATGGAAAAGCTTACGGCTGTCACGGTTTCTGGTATAAGCAGGAATTAAATCCGTATTTGCGGTAGGCTGTAATGGTAGAAATGTGTCATAGGCAAAACTTAATTTTCCATCGGGATTTCTTTGCACTTTGAATATATTCATTAAATTGGATGTAAATGGATCTGTCGTCGGTCGTGCTAATGGCTTTGGCTGATCCCCATGCATTATTTCGCGATATGAATTGAAACGTGCTTCAGAGTTACTAACAATTATCGAAGATCCCTAAACAAGACAACAAAATATTTGAGATAAGAAGCGCACATAAAGTACGAAGAAAAAGAACGCAGGTGCAACGTAACCATGCAATCCGCAAACATACGCAAGCACATGCAAGTAACCACTCATCCAATCAGTCGTTATTCATTCAAAGAGAGATTTTCCCAAGACTTACACTGAATGAACTTGAATGCGGTTCGGAGGATAAATTAAATACTTTTCTAATCGCCGCATCGATTTCATCGGGCGATATATGTCGTCGATGGCGCTCGTGAGGATATGTGCGCGACAATTGTGGATTTCTTGTTCGCAATTCTTCTTCGCCATTGTCTTTGGTGGATGTTTCGTCCGTATCACAATTTATCTGAATATGAAATACACACAAGCAGGACAAAAATGAATGAGTACAACATACAATGACATAATTACAGCAGAATGTTGGATGATTGATTTCATGAGAACGTATGAACGAATTACAAGAATAGGTAAACAATGCAACATGAATAAATTGAATTGCGATGAGCAAAGCAAACTCCTCGTCTACCACAAAGCTAATCGCAAGAAATTAATTTGATAAACTCATTTATTTTCTGGAAAAAGAAAATTGGCTTTAACGGAAACTTTTAACATCCACCATAGATTAGTTCATATATAAATATATAAATAACCATGGATGGTACACTGGTAACCAACATCAAGCTATCTATTGCTTAACCTGTCCGTGATCCCTTCAATATAGCACAAGGAAAGGCAGGTCTAGTTCTAATGTGCATTTATTCATTTGATTATGGGGTCGGATGAATTGTGGCCCAAACATTGAGCATAATGCTCTGAAAAGTTATCATTTGCTTATATTATGCATGGAAATATTCTGGGTTGCTTGTGTCCGTTGGGAATTTATGCGACGAATAGAAAATCCAGTCAGAAAATTGATTCATTGGAATTTTGAGTGACAAAAAAAAGTGCATATAAAAAAGTCCTGAAGTGTCTGAAGCTGCGGCAAAGGCTATTCCACGTGCACTCATTCTTCTGGGCGTTGATCAGAAAACTAATCTACAAAAGTGCTGCTAACATGTGAGAGGTCTAGTGAAAGCAAAAGAAGTTCTAAAAAGTGCAATTTGTAGCCAAAGACAAGTGGACATAGAGATGTGGTGGACAGATGTGGTATTGCAGCCATAGAATAACAGACCAAAAGGACAAGAGTCAAGGCTAGTACAAGAGTTACATGTTCGCTCCATGCATATATCCAAAGCAAATCAATTTGCATTGATGTACGCAAGGAGCAATCGAGATTAGGAGGAATACTGCGTAGATACGTGAGGATTGGTTAAGGTCTTGGCTAAGGATTGGAAGCAAATGTTAGGTAATTAACATTTCGTCCTTGACCTATTTAATATTATGCAAACCGCAGAAGCATGCATGCGTTTTGCTTTTACATATCTTATCTGTCTTTAAGATTAATTTACGAACAATCAATAGATTACACATACTATTATACAAAGCTATAAACACAAAATTGGGAAGATATAGTAAGAAAGCAAGCGCACTACGGCACTTGTAGTTTTTAATCGTATCCCATATTCACAAGAGATATT